ATCTGCTCACTGATGCTGTTCACAGCAGCTCCAGGCCTCATTAAAGCAGTGGTCATACAATGATCAGCATTCCACAGTTGATGCCAGAGTGGCAGTCTCTGATATCAGTTGAGCACATGACCCAGTGCAGTATCAAGAAGGTAGTACAAAATTGAAATCAATAGGATTCATGAGGAAAGCTCTCTCCTGGTCTAAATTATATCCCATCACAAAAGAAGGTGGTTTGGCTGTTGGAGGCCAATCATCCCAACATAAGGATATCAATGCAGAAGTTTCTCAGTCTAGTGTCCAGGCCAACCATCTTCAGTGCTTCACTCCATCATAAGGTTGGAAATGGGGATGCTCACTGAAGATTGCACATTGATCAAAATTCTCAAACGTTACACATTATAGATGTATTGACAAGGCTGCACTTCCATTTAATTTCAAATATAATGAAGACTTTCTTCATAGTCTGCTTCAACAGTAACTTCAACTTAGCCAGAGCAACATTGGCTTAGAAGGCCTCGAGTAACTGAGATAGCATCATTATCCATGTTTGTAATCTTCAACAGGACAAATCTTATTATTCACCATTTTGGACAGCCCACTGTAGCTATTCTACTGTCACTGGTGATCAGCTTGAAGGTAGGTAGGGCATTCCTGACACCCATCATCCTCACACCTCCGTTAGAACTAAATCCTGGGCAGAAATGTCCATTGGATACCTCCCCATGCGCTGCCAATTGAGGATGTTAGTAGCAAATTCAGATCAGATTAGGGCCTTGATCGTGCTGCATCTTAAAATGTGAACTGGTAATCACTTCAGGAGTTGGTAGTGAGTGAGGTGGGACAGGTGGTGAGTGGGGGAGATGTGTGGGGAGGAACAGGCTTGTGCATCCATCGAAAAAAATCAGTGCCTTATTGAGGGACTGGATGTTGAGAAAGTGAAGATGCAAAGAGTCACCTTCACATTGCTTCTAACCCCCTTGCGCACCTCTCCCCACCTTGTTCAACCCTGTCCTGTAAACCTCTTTACTTGCCCATAGTCTGGGCCACCTGTGATCCTAAGCCTTCAGGTGTTGTCCTTCCTGCAGCAGCCATCAGTGGAAAATCTGCCAATGAACTCAGAGCTGCTTGATTCCACTTCCGAAAGTGAATCATTATGGATTTCTATCGGCTCCACTGCCTCCCAGTGCAACAACACCTTCAGCTCTGGGTTTTGCTTTAGCTTTCAATAAGGAAAATCAAGCATAGAAAATCCATTGTGTGGGAGCAATGTAGAATCCCTACATTGTGGGAGCATGCCATTCAGCCCATCAAGTCTACACTAACCCTCCAAAGAGCATCCCACCCAATGCCTGTAACGCTGCACTTCCCATCGCTAATCCACCTGGCCTGCACACCATGAGTGATTTAGCATGGCCAATCCATCCAACCTGCACACCTTTGGACTGTGGGAGGAAACCCTGGGCAGATACAGGGAGAATGTGCAAATTCCACACAGACAGTTACCCAAGAGTGGAATTGAACCCAGGTCCCTGATACTATGAAGCATCTGTGCTAACCACTGAGCCACCATGCCAAGGGCCCATATGCAGAGAGCTCGTTATAGAGAAGTAACGGCCCAGTTTAACATTGTTCAGCTGAAGGTGAGCAGTTAGAGTGTTCGGTGTTCTTACTTGCAATGAAGCTGATGCTTTTCCATAGATATCAATGTTAAAATACTTTACAGTACAAGAGGGAAACCCAGCAGAAGGATACAATTTCCTTTAAATACACAATAGGGCTCTGACAAAGTTAGCCTTAAGTTCAGTTTAAACTTTGGCTTGCAGAAGCCATTATGTCTTTCCTCCAAGTCCAACCAGGCAGCAAGAAGAGCTGTGATCTGAAGAGACCTAGAAACATGCTTTGTACATCAAAATAAAACAAAGATCAGTAGTGCCGGAAATCAGAAACAGAATCAGAAATTGCTGGAGATACTGGGGTAACACAATGGTTCAGTGGTTAGTGCTGCCACCTCACAATACCAGGGACCTAGGTTTGATTTTGGCCTCGGTGACTGTGTGGAGTTTGCACATTCTCCCTGTAGCTGGAAGAGTTTCCTCTGGGTTCTCCTGTTTCGTCCCATAATCCAAAGATATACATGTTAAGTGGATTGGCTGTGGTTAAATGTGGGGTTATGGGATATGATAGGGGTCTGAGTGGGATGCTCTTCAGATGGTCAGTGTGGAGTCAATGGGCTGAATGGCCTCTTTTCACACTGTAGATGGGGGTCTACAATTCTAAGCTCAATAGGTCTGGCAACATCTGTGGGTTAGAAACAGAGTTAATGCTCGAATTCATTGACCTTTCCTCAGAACATTAACTGTGTTTCTCTCTCCACAGATGCTGCCGGACGTGCTGAGTTTCTCCAGCAATTCCTGTGTTATTTATGTTCCTCATGAGTCAGGACAATGCATTGGTCCATCTCCAGGCTCCAATCTAGGGGAACTGGCGCTCACCCACCATCGAAATCACTCCCAGACTGTCTCTGAACCATTTACTGAATGTTGTCAGTGGCCTCTTGCCCACTGGAAACCCCTTTCTGCTCGTTGGTCAGCCTTCACTTCCCACCAACTTTAGGGAGACTGACAAGCAATGAGGCCGAGGTGGTATAACCTCTCAGGTCTTGCACCGTCCAAATCAGCTGGTGTTGCTATCCTTCTCAGTTCCATCCACATGTACCTTGGTCAATTTTTCAAAATCAAGCTTTTAGTTCAGCATAATGAAGCAGAATTTATTCCAAAGGTTTTCCATCCCTTGGTTGCAATTTTGTACAGTAGAAATTAAATGCATCAGAATTCTGACAGCAAAGGTCATACACATTACATCTGGAAGAACTCATGCAAGTTAAGATTTGCCACTTGGGAATTTGAATAATTTCTGCATGGTTGATAAATATATACTGACACACATAGAAAATTGGTTTAATTTGGTATCCGATGCATTAACAAAGGAATACTGAGGAATTTTATTGGGTGGGTCATTCAGAGATTTGTGTTGCTACCCTGACAGCTGTGACCCTGAAGAGAAATCTGTGTTTTCACTTTGAATTAACTGACCATTTCCTGAGAGTGAAGCCAGGGAACATTCAAAACTCTCTAGAAACTGCCCAAACAGGTCAACATTGAAAGAGTTCTGTTTTAAATCTCACAACACCTGAAAGTGTTTACAGACTCATGGTTCTCCACGGAACGCTTTCCACTGTTCAGACTCAATCCTGAACAGCCTCAATTGCTGAGCAACTGAACACAACCCCAGTGTGATGCAGAGCTATGCAGGCCTGGATTAGCCGCAACTTGAATCCTGTGATTGCCAGTGAGTAAACTGATACCAACCCCAACATAAACATTGGTGATATCATACAATCATATCATAGAATCCCTACAGTGTGGAAACAGGCCTTTCGGTCCAACAAGTCCACACTGACCCTCAGAGTATCTCACCCAGACCCATCCCCCGATAACCCGATGAGAAGTTTTGTAATTCTAGAACACCTCTTTGTCAACAGGACAGAAAGCCAACCTCTGACATATAAAGAAAAACAGGAAATGCTGGAAAAACTCTGGCAGAATTTGTGGAATGATAAACAGCTAACATTTTGAGTCCAATATGACAATTCCTCATTTCTTAAAAGATAAAGAATCAGATTTGACTGAAAGCATTAAATCCACCCTCTATGCACAGTTGCTGCAAGACCTGCTGGGTTTCTCCAGCACTTCCTGTTTTTATTTCAGAGCCTGTAAGCTGCATCCCACTTTGTGGGGGAGAAGACAGTCTTAGAAAGGTACAAATGGAGAAATCTCAACAATTGAGGAGAATAAAGTCAGATTCCCTACAGGACAGTCGATCATGTTGGATACCAGTGCCTTCACCTACCTGACTTTATATGCAACATTTGTAATTGGATCTGCATATCAAGGGCTGGAGTTTACACCTCCCCACCACCTAACCCCAACCAGGCATGTTGCTGGCAGTGAAGGCAAGGGATAGGCACATGTAATATGTTGGTTGGGTAGCCCAGCGTCCTTCTGACTCTGCCCCCACTAAAGGTGCAATAAGCAAAATGCCCACCAGTCAGCCCAACCTTCAGTCTATTCAAGCTCTTAAGTTGCCAATTATCTCCACTGTCATAAACACTGGGTATTGGAAGACAAGGGAAAGTGAATAGACTGTTTCTCCAGCCAGGTTTGTGACTGGTGTGAAGAAAAGAGGCTACACGATTTTTGCAAGGGTAGGTGTGTGGGTGGTGAGTGCATCAAAGCCCCATTTTGTATAAATTTGTTTGATTTTTGACCAACGTTCTTAACAGGTGTTCAAACAGCACTTCCACCCCTAACCTGGTAAAAGCAAAGCACAAGATCTAATTTTGCATTACAAATGAGACAACAGGCAATGCGCATTTGGTTTGCTTGCTCATTACTCATCCATCGAAGCAATGGGAAAATCCATCAAGGCTGTGCTGTAAACAAGATGGCTGCCACATTTGCCAACAAAAGAAGAAACACAATTTCAGCAGAGTTAATTGATCGTGAAATGTGTTGAATGATTTTCAGAACATGAAATAAACACAAGTTCTTTATTTTTCTTCCACAGCGATCTTTCTTAGAGAATGAGTGAAAACTTGTTTCCTCCATTTCTAAACATGATCAGTGATAAAAAGTACCATGAAGAAGAGGAGAAGAGATTTAAAAAAATGTACAGAACTAAATTATTAGGAAGATGGAAAATGAGTGTTTCCAATGACATGTGACATACAACTTAAAATATCTAATTTTCTGTCCTCTCATTTCTAGTGAAACTTTTAAACAGATAAAGATTTTACTAAGCTAGTAAACACAGGAGAAACACAATAAATCATTTACAAATATTTTATTGTCTGTTAAGACACCATTTCCTGTGTTGCATCTTTTCAGAAGTATATATTTCTTTTTAAAGTCTTGTAAATATTGACCAGGCTGTTCTCATTTGAAGGCATTTAACGTTAATCACAAAATGCTTCTCTAACAAACGTTAATTGACTGCATCTCAAGATTCTGATATGTTGGACTATGTTTTGCTGACCACAGAACTTTTCTTGAGAAGGAATTTCATTGTGAGTAATTTTTAATTTGTGTGATATAATCTGTGGAGAGTTCAGCATCACCTTTGTGAGGAGTTGCTTTATAAATATACACTCAGTGATGCAAGCAAGAAGCCTGTGAAATGAGAAAAGAAAAGCACAGATCATCTACTTGTGGTGGGATGGTGTCATGCTAAGATTACTTGGTGCTGACAAATAGATAAATCTTTTTGACATTTTGCTTAGTAAATTTTGTGGACTCAGGGAACACAACACACAGAGCTTTCTTTCAAAGTGAATAGATGCAGAAGAATTCATGTGAGTGGAGGATGCACATTGTCGGGGGAAAGGTTATATTTCATGGATGATTGATTGTTCTTAGATGTGCATTTCCTTGTCCAGTTTTTGGGCTCATTTGGTGATATAAGAGTCTTTAAAAATAGCAATTTGTGGTTTGATCTGTCTTTACTGATATAAATCTTAGCTGATCAATCCTTATGGATCAGCTTGCTATGAACTTGACACGTGGGGTTCTGTCCTGCTCTGCTGAGAGTTTGTTCATTCAGACTGTATTGTCTCTGCTTTGAGTTTGCTGCTTCTAGATCTCTGCCTTACTGAAGAGAACTACTACCTGACTCTCAGGAATTCCAACAAATTCCTTTATATACACTCAATTGTACATAATTCTGAACTCTGTAACACAGCTCTCTATTGCAGATTAATCCATCCTCCCACCTCAGAATATCAATAACATGTGATTGTTGATGCTTGTGTTACATCATTTTATAGAAGCTGATGGCCCACTATTGCTGTAGGATTATTCCAGAAACTTAGTTAATGTTCTAGGGACCCACATTTGAATCCTGAATGGCAGATGGTGGAATTTGAATTCAATAAATATCTGGAATTAAAAATCTAATGATGACCATAAACCTATTGCTCATTGTAGAAAAATCCATTCGGTTCACTGATGTGCTTCAGAAAAAGAAATCTGTTATCCTCACCTGGTCTGGCCTACATGTGACTCCACACCCAAAGCAATGTGGTTGACTCTCAACTGCCCTCTAATTGTCTCAACAAGCCACTCAGTTATGTCAATCACTACAATGTTTCAAAAAAGAAATGAAACCAGATAGACAACATAGAATCAACATAGGCAGCAGAAATGACAACGGCAAAAACAGCCCTATCAACTGTACAAAGTCCTTCTTAATTACATCTGGGACTGGTGCTAATATTGGGAGCGCTATCTCACAGATTGTCAAGCAACAGTCTGACGTAGTCATACTCACAGAATCATACCTCACAGACAATGTCCCATTGGAGTTGCTAGGGACTCCTCAACATTGACTCCAGACCCCATAAAGTCTCATGACATCAGGTTAAACATGGGCAAGGAAACGTCCTGCTGATTATTACATACTATTCTCCGTCAGCTGATGAATCAGTATTCCTCCATATTGAACAACAATTGGAGGAAGCACTGAAGGTGCAAAAGTGCTCAAAATGTACTCTGGGTGGCGGATTTCAATGTCTACCACCAAGAGTGGCTCAGCAGCAGTACTACTGATCGAGCTGGTCGGGTCCTAAAGGACATAGCTGCTATACTGGGTCTGCGGCAGGTGGTGAGGGAACTAACAAGAGGGAAAAACATACTTGACCTCATCCTTACTAATCTGCCAGCTGCAGTTCCATCTGTCCATGACAGTACCGGTAAGAGTGACCATCGCATAGTCCTTGCTGACACAAAGTCCCACCTCCATTGTGTTGTGTGGCACTATCACCGTGCTAAATGGGACAGACTTCACACAGATTTATCAATTAAAGACTGGGCATCTATGAGGCTCTGTAGGCCATCAACAGCAGTAGAATTGAATTCCAAAGCAATCTGTAACCTCATGGCTTGGCATATCCACCATTCAACCACTACCATCCATCCAATGGAGAGAACAGGAGTGTATGTCAGGAGCAGTACCAGGCATACCTAAAAATGAAGTGTCATCCTGGTGAAGCTACCAAACAGGCCTACTACTTGTGTGCCAAACAGCATAAGCAGCAAGTGTTAGACAGAGCTAAGCAATCCCACACCCAATGGATCAGAGCTGAATTCTGCAATCCTCCCAAATCCAGTCGTGAATGGTGGTAGACAATTAAACAACAGATTGGAGGAAACGGCTCCAAAAGTACCACAATCCACAGTGACAGTCTAACATAAGTGCAAAATATGAGTCTGAAATCTGCAAGAATCTTTAGTGAGAAGCGTTGAGTGGATGATCCATCTTGGCCTCCTCCAGGTCTCCCCAGCATCACAGATACTAATCTTCAGCCAATTCAATTCACTCCATGTGATATCAAAAAACGGTTGGAGGCACTGGATACTGCAAAGGCTATGGATCTTGATAACATTCTGGCAATAGTACTGAAGACTTGTGTTCCAGAACCTGCCACTCCCCTAGTCAAGCTGTTTCAGTACTGTTACTACACTGGCACCTACTCGACAATGCAGAAAATTTCCAAGGTACGTTCTGTACACTTAAATCAGGAAAAATCCAACCCAGCCAATTACTGCCCCATCACTGATGGAAGGTGTCACCAACAGTGCTATCAAGCAGCACCTGCTCAGCAATAACCTGCTCAGTGACGCACAATTTGGGTTCCGCCAGGGCCACTCAACTCATCACCTCATTACAGCCTTGGTTTAAACGTGGACAAAAGAGCTGAATTCCAAAGGTGAGGTGAGAATGATAGCCCTCAATATCAAAGCTGTATTTAACCGAGTATGGCATCAAGAAGCCCTCGCAAAACTGGAATGAACTGGTATCGGGGTCAAACTCTCCTGTGGAGGTTGGAGTCATATACGGAACATTTAGAAGATGGTTGTGGTTGTTGGAGGTCAGTCATCTCAGCTCCAGGACATCTCTGCAGGAGCTCTTCAGGGTATTGTCCAAGGCCCAACCATCTTCAGCTGCTTCATCAATGATCTTCCTTCCATCATAAGGTCAGAAGTAGGGATGTTCGCCGACAATTGTACAATATTCAGCACCATTCACAACTCCTCAGATACTAAAGGAGTCCATGATCAAATGAAAGAAGGCCGGAACCATATGCAGGCTTGAGTAGGCAAGTGGCAAGTGACATTCATGCCACACATAGGGACGGCATGGTGGCTTGGTGGCTTGGTGGTTAGCACTGCTGTCTCACAGTGCCAGGGACCTGGGTTTGATTCCACCCTCAGGCCACTGTCTGTATGGCATTTTCACGTTCTCCCCATGTCTGTGCGGGTTCCCTCCAGGTGCTCCGGTTTCCTCCCACTTTCCAAAGATTTGCAGGCCAAGTGGTTTGGCCATGCTAAATTGGCAATAGTATTCAGAGATGTGTAGGTTAGGGGGATGGGTCTGGGTGGGATGCTCTGAGTGTCGGTGTGGACTTGTTGGGCCGAAGGGCCTGTTTCCACACTGTAGGGATTCTATTCTATAAACACACAACTACTGTCAATGGTATTGTCATCACTGAATTCCCCTACTATCAATACTTTCGGAGTTAGCATTGATCAGAAACTCAAGTGGGTTCGCCATATAAATGTAGTAGACTCTAGTAGGTCAGAGACTAGGAATACTGACTCCCCAAATCCCATCCACCATCTACAAGGCACCAATCAGGAGTGTGATAAAATACTCCCCACCTGTATGGAACAGTGCAGCTCCAGCAACACTCCAAATGCAGCAAGGCCTGGACAGTATCCAGGCTTTTTCTGGTAAGTGGCAAATAACATTTGTCCCACATAAATGCCAGGAAATGAGCTTATCCAACCATTGCTCCTTGGCATTCAATGGTGGTACCATCACTAATCTCCCACTATCAACATCCTGGGAGTTACTATCAACCAGAAAATGAACTGGACCTGCCATATCACTACAATGGTTACAAGAACTGGTCAGAGGCTAGAAATCCTACTGTGAATAAGGTCCTGACTCCTCAAAATCTGTCTATCAACTGAAAGACACAAGTTAGAAGTGTGATGGAATACTCCCACTTGCCTGGATGGGTGCAGTTCCAACGACACCTAACACCATCCAGAACAAAGCAGCTCACTTATTTGGCACAGTACCCACAAACATTCACTCCCTCAACAACCAATGGTCAGTAGCAGCAGTGTGTACCATCTCGAAGATGCACTGCAGAATATCACCAAAATGTCTTGGGCAGCACCTTTCAAATTGACAACCACTTTCGTCTAGAAGAACAAGGGAACAGATACATAGGAACGCCAACATCTACAAGTTCCCCTCTAAGCCTCTCACCATCCTGACTTGGAAATATGCCATTGTTTCTTCACTGTCACTGGGTCAAAATCTGAGAACTCTCTCCTTAATGGTTTTGTGTATCTCCCTGCAGCACATTAGCTGCAGTGGTTCAAGAAGGCAGCTCATGAGCACCTCCTCATGGTGACCAGGGATGAGCAATAAATGCTGTCCAGCCAGGGACACCCACGCCCCACAAGTGAACAAAAGCAAGTCAGCATGTCATTAACATGAATTTTCATTATGCTACATTTTATTTCATTCATGAAAGCACAACATCCCATGAAACATGTATCTTTCAAAATTACAAGAATATTTAAAATGGAAGTGTTATCATTCATTGTGAGGTAAAGACACTGTACAGGAGCCTCAGAGGGCCACTCCCACATTAGAGAGATTAAGCCATGATGTTTTAAACCTGTGGGCCACCATGCCTCAGACAAACAGTGGTTGAGAAGGAGAATCCTTTGTGGTAACCTTAGCTGGTGCAGGAAGTGAACTTGTGCTGTCTGTATCATTATGCATTAGAAATAAATCAACCAGCCAACTGAGCTAAACCAACCCTAGCTCTCACTGCAGCATTATGTACTCTCAACAGTGTAAGTAACTTAAGTCGGTATAAAAAGTTAAATAAGCCTTCACCAACAGAAAGACTGGGTCATAATAAGTCATAAAAATATTACATTCCCTCCTCTTTCCTCAAGAACGTTTTTTCACAGAAGAGAACATTTA